AACAGCAGCTAGAAGGGGGTATATCGGTGTCATGAACACTGAAGATCAAATTTCTGGCAGTGGGGATTCTGAAACTAACGGTTATTTGGAGTAAATATTGCAGAGTGAATTAACCTGTAGTTCTGCAGTGCACTGGGCTTCATTTCCGAGCTCCAGCCCTTCAAGGGGTCACCCACCAAGGTGGTTGCTCATATGAATGTCCTGGGTTCAAAGAGCTTTCCCCCTCCTCCGTGTGAGCCAGAGGGATTTATTAAACTGGCTTCACCTGTAGGTTGTGAGATCCTTTTGGACAAAGGACACCACAAGGGCCCATGCGCTGGAGACGAATCCAGCTTGATGGTCAACACGGCAGAGACGGAGCGCGTGACGGACACAACGTGGAGCTCCAGCCCCCTGGCAGCTGTGACATTTGCTCCCAAACAGGGGGAAGACGAAGGGCTCAAAATAAATACAGTATAGGCTTTGGGTGGTGTTACTATACAAGAACTTCCAGTCATGTCTTTTGTTTTTAGGGGAATAGCCCAGGTGATAAAGAGTACATGGTGCATGTTGCCGTTAAGTTTGGTCTGTGTGTATCTATATTACGAATTAACTGTACAAAAATGTACTGAAAATGTCTAAAATAGGTGTTCTCTTACACTCTGAATTAGCTGAGCTGTTCTCTCGCCAAATAATATTCTTTATAGACATCTTAAAATATATATATACACACACATTTATATATATATATATTTATGTATGCTGAACTATATGCTTTTTTTTTTCCCTGAGGGGAGTTTTTCAGCCAGTCTAAATTATATGGTGGGTTCGTAATCTGAGCTGATGTTTAACAGCTGAGCTGAGTCACCAAATTTGAGTCTGTGCATGTGCAATTTGTCCTTCCCCCCACCCCGTCTCTCTCCTGTCTGGAAATTTGACTGTGGAATTTCAGCACCATAATTTTTAGATTTCTCTTAAAATATCTGAATGCAGTTTCCAGAAGTAAATTCCTGTGCTATTCATAGTTTACTAGCTGTGAGCTTAGAGGATGAGTGAGCAGGCTAAGGACAGGGTATTCTCAGCGTGGTTTGCTCTTCTTTTCCATTGTTTGCAGAGAAATTGAAAATTTTAGTTTAGAACATTAAAAAACCTGCTATCCCTCAAGGTGCCTTGAGGTTACTGGGAAAATTCTTGTTTTAAAAGGGAATCTGGTTAGAAGATTCTACTTGGAGTTCCTTTTCTGGGAGCTAATAGGTTTATTAAGTTCTTTCATCATCAGCGCCTTGTTTTAGGCTGCTTTTAAAAAATACTTCAGCAAATGACTTGTCCTATCATGAAGGTCTATGGGCTTTATTAGAGAAGAAACAAAGCAGATCTTTAGAAAAATAACTTGCTTCTGAATGTAACTCATCTCTTTGCTCTTGTTTCTGAATAGAAAAAAAATGTACTTTGAGACAGTAATTATGCAATTACCTTGCAATTTACTACATTTTTTAAAAAAGTCACTCATATTTAAATTGTATTTGAGTTCTGTGTCAGTTTTTATGGTATAATATGATAGTTTCCTACCATTTTGATTTTTTTTCCTGTTGTTTCATGAAAGAATACCACAGCTGAAAGAAAAACCCAGAATGGGCTATTCAAAGAAAAGAGCAAATAACAAATTTTTGTAGTCAAATGTGGAAATCAGAGCTGAGGAAAAGACAGGTGGTTTTAATCTCTCCGAGATGTCTTCAGTGTCCTTGTAATTAAAAGGGCAAATGGTGTCATAGCTGTAATGATGTGATTTTTCAAATTCCCCGTATTTCTTCTCCTTGCAAGTTAATCCCAAGTTCTCTAGTTATTGTCCCCTTCCCAGAACTCCATCGCTGGACTTGTCCACGTCACCTGCTTGGGTAATTTATTGTTGAGAAGGTGCCGCTGGGTACGGAGAATCCATGCGGCCACGGCTGCCGTGGGGCAGCAGTCTGGGCCGGCCACGTCGGGCGTTTGCGGCCCAGGGAGACAGAGTCTGTGTCTGAACAGTCCCAGCAATGGTGGAAGGAGTTGGGGAAGGAACTGGCCGGAGCTGTTAAGTCCCTCTCGTTGCTTCAGGCACGTCCCAGGGGTCGCAGGCCTAGACATGGAAATGCCTCGGGGCGGTTTTGTGCTCCCCTTGAGGCTTGTGTGATACTGGAGGTACCAGGATCTTGTTTAGAAAATACATGCAAGGGCTCCCAAAATATGCACTGCATTGGGTTACTGCAAAAAACTGCCCCAGCCATGGGGACAGCACAAGCACGGGGACACAGGTTTAACAAAGTGCCTTGAAAAAGGAAAGAGGAGGAAGGGGAACTATCTGCTGTGTTAAAATTCACTAAAAAAAAATGAGTCTTTTCTGGGATGTGTTTATTGTAATACCTGAATATAAAGGGAAACTAAGCGCACTAAGTTAGAAAGAGGAAGCTCTCCCTACGTTATGCATTAGCACCTCATATATTTTTAAAGCTTTTGTGAAAAACAGTTTACAGGGGTCTTACTGTTACCTGAGGCTTTTTGCAAACTCTGAAATAGAAGATTTAATTTTTTGAAAGAGACCTCACATGTTCCATGCAGGATTTTATTCTTTCTTTTAATCAGCCACTGGGTCATAACAAAGGTTTTGCATGAGTGCTTTGGGAATCTCTAAGTAGTATTTCAAATGCAGGCAGCAGCCGGAGGAAAGAGGTACAGAACAGCAAGAGGAAAGGGCCGTTTCTGAGCTCTCTGGGGAGGTGGGAACCCCCACGTTCTGCAGACACCGTTCGCACGCCCAGGGTCAGCCCGAAAGGGGCTGTTTACTGGAAGCGCTGAGGGAAGCGGCTGCTAGCGCGACCCGTAAGGCGCGTGAGAGACTCCCGCGTAGACGAGCAATGATTCACCGTTATCGGAAGATAAACAGGGCACCATGTGGGCTCTGCTTGGCTTTCTGCATGCTTGTTTTGCTTTTCTGCTGTAATTCCTGTGCTGGTGTTTCCTTTTCAACCAGACCTTTGTAACTCCCAGCCTTTCATTCATGTATTTTTTTTTTTAATTGCTGAATATTGGACCGTATGTCAGAAATGCTTTGAACGCTGCTGTAGCTACAAAGGCTGGGCAAAGGGATCTGGTTTTGTGCGTCTGCTGGAGCTCTCCGTGTTCTTCACTTTTCCCAGATCTCTTGCCTTTGTGATTAGTAGTTAAGAGGTAGGTTTAGGTACAAATAATCCTGACTCAGTGCCATTTAGAGATTAAGAGGAAATCAATCCTACTTTTCTCTAAGCTTCTTGTGAGGTGTCGAAGGAAACACCGTGATGCAGATAAGCAGCTTTGATTCAGGTTTCACCTTGCAACTGAAATGCTGAACTTCTCCAGTGGCCCTGTTTTCCTGTCCTTTTGATTGAACTTCCACATTTTCACTTGCCTTCGCCAAGCAACATTCCCTGCGCTCAGAGAGTCTCCTGCAGGGAACACCATCGGCCTTGGTGGCCTGAGCCCACGGCACGGGCATGTAGCGCAGGGGCCCTGTCGTCTTCAGCAGCTTGTTTTGTCATCGGTTTTAACGACCGTTGATCCGGGCTCGTTAATCAAATATGGGCTAAGCGGTTTGTTCCTCAGGGGCAGCAGCTCTACACAGCAATTTCTTTCTTCTGCCTTCAGGATGAATTTTCAAAAGGGCAGATAACTGCTTGGGTCTCTTTCCTGCTCCATCAGCCCTCCTGATACGGGATTTAGAGCAATGAGCTTTTCCCTTTTACTCTGTGAATGTTGTATTTATCTCACTGCAAATCTCTTTAAATCCATTTTGCAGGCTATGGAGAGACTGAATTGTGGCACTAGGCACTAAGTCCCTTTCACAACCTCTTTCCCCAAAGTTTAAAAAAATGCTCCAAAAGTGCAAGTCTCCTGAATTTGGGGATTCTCCTAAGAAGTTAGGAGAAAGTAGTTCTTGGAGATTCATGAAATTCGTTATCTTGAGGAGGGGAAAAAAACAACACAGAAACCTTCCATGGTCTAGGGCAGGGAATTGATTTTGGAATATGAAATTTGAACAGATTCCTGATACCAATTCTAAATTCGGTCTTTCCAAAGGTATTTTCTCAACTTTTCTGCCCTGAAAATTCTAAAATATTATTCTGCACCATTGAATTACTTTTGTCTTTCGAGTAGTTGTGCACCCAAGTGCAATGAAGAAAAAAAAAGTTTCTTAATTAATTCTTTGGGATCTTTTGGTTTTGATGCACCTTGCAAATATACAAAATACTATTTTTGTTGTTAAAATCATTCTGGTTTTCTTAGTCACAATCTTAGGGCCTTTGTAGAAAAAAAAAAAAGCTGAACACTCATTATTATTATTATTATTATTATTATTATTATTATTATTATTATTTCCCTTGCAGTAATCAAATGTCTTTTGGCCTGTACGCGTAGTCTGCTTAATAAAGCAGCTGTGGGACACGTGATGGGCAGCAGTAGCGAAGCGGGGGTCCTGTTACAATTCCAGCACTATGAAGGCATCCACCCCATGATCCTTCTTTTCTAGTGGGTTCCACGTGCTGTTAAATTAGGCGCTTGCTGGCTCGGAGCGAGGAGCTGCGCGGCCGGCGCGGCCTCGCGGCGCTGGGGTTGTTTTGGGAGAGCGAAGCCGCCTGCGCATGGTAGCTGGAGAGAAGCACCTGAGAAGACAGCCTGGGAATACGACACAAGTATCTTTCCTTTTCTTTTTTTATGCATCCGTACACACTTGTTTATATATGGCTATATATATAAATAATATATGTATATTATTAAGGTGGATTATTAAGGTGGCTGCAGTAGAGAAGATAAGGAAGTAGATTATTTACTCACTCCAGTTTAGGCTGTTACAGAGACCTGTAGTCCTAAATTAAATCGTTTTGAAACAACGTGGCTCCGTTTGAAGTTGGACGGATTAACGTGCCCTTGAACCTTTCCTTTCTTTTCTTCTTCCCGCCAGATCTGTGAACAACAACTTCTTCACGTAGCGTGTCAAAGCTGAAGGGGAGATGGCCAGCTCGGCGCGAGACCATCTGCTCTTCGTGCGGCGTCGCAACCCGCAGTTACGATACACCCTGAGCCCGGAGAACCTGCAGAGTTTGGCGTCGCAGGGCACCATGGCCGAGAACATGAACTTGCAGCGGGCCAACAGCGATACCGACCTGGTGACCTCGGAGAGCAGGTCTAGTCTCACAGCCAGTATGTACGAATACACCTTGGGGCAGTCGCAGAACCTCATCATCTTCTGGGATATTAAAGAGGAGGTCGACCCAACCGACTGGATAGGACTTTATCATATAGGTAAGTTGTCATTTTTCAGGATGTTTGTTGCTCCTTTGCCATTTACATTTTCTTGTATATGTTTTGGCAGACCACGTCACTAATCTGAAGATAATATTGAAATTCTGTAGAGAATTACCCTGGATTTCTCTTTGCTTTTCTTAGCACAGCAAACTATGTGCAAACACGATTCTAATTAGTGTAGATCTAATTTTATGCGACTTGCTAGAGAACAAAATGCTTTCTTCTTAAAGGACCTACCTTGCAAATGTGCACAGTTTCTTCTTTGCGTCCGGTGACTGCCTTGCAGACTGGAGAGTTGAGAATACAATATTCATCATGTAACTTGATGTGCTTACTGTCTAATATTTATAAAGGTTTTCTGGACGAGAAGATTTTAACCATTAGGGAAAAGGTATTTTGTATAATTCTTTAGTTTTTATAGAGCAGAAATTGTATGAGTTCCAAATGATACGAGATTCACGCTGCTTTTCCTCTTTTCTTGTTAAGTGATCTAAGGTTCAGTCACATGTTGACATCTAGTTTTCACATAACACTTGAAATTTTTGAGCTTTGAGAGTTTTGAACTCTTTCAAGGATATAGAATCATTATTTTTTTTTCATTAGTTTATGATATGAAAAGCTTTATTCTGCTTAATTTTTGTAGACTTCGGTAAGATAAAGTGCAATGGAGTAATTTGTCATAAGTGCATGTATTAGGAATTGCTAAGGCTTTGCAGGGTTTTGCATTGCTTTCGGTGAGAACTGAATTGATGCACTTTGGGGGTGTTTTGTTGTACATGCTAGGTCATTTGCTTATCATGTTTATTAATATAGAATTGCTCTTCTAGAAAATCTTGGTTGAAGAGACCTAGGGAGCTGAGCCACCAAGAGTCAATGAAAGCAGCACATCTATTAACCACCTTAAAACACCAGAGAGAAGGTTGAAGCAATGAAAGCTGGTAATTGTAGATCAAAGCTGTAATGAATTATTTGAAAAAAAAAATATTAACTGGGCCTTGAAACACAGCTGTAAAAACGAGCTGTCATCGCCCCTTCCCGTGGACCACGGTGTCCGATTTGGGCAGGGCAAGGCAAATTGGTGGGATGTTGGCGTGTCCCGGAGCTGCGCACACTGCCCCACCGTTGGTGCCACTCGCTGCCAGTGCCACTCATGGCTTGGGAAGTTACAGGCACTTGCTTCTTGTTTTCTCTGGAGCACAGGGTGTGGGGGTGAATGGATTTCAAAACTAAAGCTCTGCTCTCGAGCAAACTGTTAAGACAAAATACTGAGGTTACCATTCCCTGGTCTCCTTGAGCATAAACCATTTGACTCGCAAAGTCATTCTCCTCTGGCACTGCCTCCTGCAGGTGACACAGGTGACATGTTGTCACTGCCACGAGCCCTTTCTGTCTGGGCCCACGTAACACAGTATCCCTGATATTCCTCCACATCCTTTTGGAAAGCATCGTTTTCAAAGGAGCCAGGAGTAGACAAAGGTGTAAATATTTTGTTACTTAAAAAAGGCATTGCAGAACCCAAAAGCACAGTTCTGTCTTTTTTTTGTTGGTCTTTGGTTTTTGTTTGTGTGCTTTGTTTTAATGTTGCTTGTGCAGTTAACTGATCACTGCTTTGGAGGTTAAAAAAAGAAAAAAAGAGTAGTCTTTAATTCTGTAAATGAGCAGAAGAAGGAGGTCTAAAAACGACATCTCTCTGGGCACAGGCTTAGTGCTGCAGGCAGCTTGTCAAAGAGCTGCAGCAATCCAGGTGAAGCTTCACTTCGTATTAATTTCGCAGAATGCATCTGTTGTAACAGGAGCTTCAAATGCCAGGCAGAGAAAAGTCTGCTGCCTCCATTCATGACTTTATTGAGATGATTCAATTAACTCTCTCATTAGCTTTCTGCCACAAGAAAGTGCGTATTTCTGTGCTTGCAAGTGTGCTCTTAGAGTGCAGTTAAAATTGCAGTTAAATCTTTAGGAATCCCACCAGACTTTTGTTAACCCCCTCCTTTTAAGACTGGCTTTAAATCACTATGGTGATTTAAATAAAAGGTGGAGCTCTTTCAAAGTACAGTCCAATTTCACTGAAATATTTTTCCTGCTAATTGTTTTGAAAGTAAGTGTTTCATTTTATAAAGGGAAAAGCCTGTGGAGATAAAAAACAGAATGATAATATTCCAAAGGACTTTTTTTTAATCTGGTGCATGTAGATTTTTTTCCCACCTCTATTAAGAGCTCCGAGATGCATCAAATATTTTTGCAAAACAAGATTGTGCATTGTGCTAGGCATTAGCCCACCGTAACGTCCTCAGGATATTCCACTGCTGCAACTTTAGATCTTCAGGTTTGAAATGCAAGAAGTTGACCTCAAACGTGGAAAACGCTACATGCTCATGCTCTGTTTTTCTTAAGTCCTGAGTTTTAAGGCATTACTCTGGTTGCATGTGCAAGTTTCTGGCTGCTGGCCCAGCACCCTGTGCAGCTCCTCCTTGAGTCCACCCTCGTCTTGGACAGCTCGGATGCGCCCGTTTCCTTCGCAAAGGGCTGTTTGGTACCAGGATTCTCTTCTCTTCATGGTGATTTGCTCAGGGGCACCAGAAGAGAAGTGTATGTAAGGAACATCGTGTATTCTGTGAACAAAAGCACTTTTTTCTTTCCTTTTTTTTTTTTCTTGAGTATTTTTGTCTCAATTCTTTAGAATAAATCGTACAGTGCTGGTAGCACTTCTTATCTATGAACAGCCTTATCCCTGAAGTTTTGTTACAGGCTTCAGACCGGAGCTGTGGGGAATATGGATAATAATACATCTGTAAAAGAACAACAATAAACTATGTGAAATGGAGAAAGGGAATTTCAAAGTATTGACTGCTTTTTAAGCAGGCTAAGATGTTGCATGAGAGCTTGAAATAGTTTTCGAAGTTGAAATGCGGGTTATAACATTTTGAATTCAGCTTTAAGTTTTGCCTGAAATGGGCTTCCCCCGCCTTCTTCATGGCTGAACTGGATGGAGTGACATGCATTGTCACTTTGAAGTGACAGGGCTTGATGAAACTCAGAGAAAGGAGCTTCCTGGTAGCTGCACGACTCCTCTGCTTCATCTGAGGAGTAAAGGTGAATTTCCAATTTTTCTGTCCTAGGGAGAAGGAAGGAAAAAAACAGTTCTGGAAGCAGTCACCACTTGGGTTTGGAGTGAGTGTATTTCTGCCTGCTGGACTGGTAGAAGAAGTGCTATGTAACAAGCAGATTTCACAGGGATCTTCTTGGCCCTGTGACACATTTCCCTTAGCCAGCGCTGATGCAGCTTGCACATGGCACACTGGTTTGCGCAAAGCCTTTTTTCACTTGTTGAAAGTTTGCAGGCATTTTTTTTCCACTAATCAAGGGGAATCTGACTCCTTCCCTGGCAGGAGTGGTCGACCTGTGGCTCTGGAACCATAAGCTCCTCCAGTGCAGCTCAGGGGCTGCTTTAATTTCTGCCACTGCGAGGCATGAGGTTGGATTTGTGGGAGGTGTTTTGCTGTATCCGGCTTTCTCGCTCCCATGGCCAGGATCTAGCAGGAGAGATTGGGCTGACGCTCACTTTTGTTTGCCCTGCCAATGTGTGGGTCTGAAGGGGGAGGAAGGTGAAGAAGATGAGGGAGATGCCAGCCCTTCTGGTGGCTGAAGCAGATTAACCCCCACGGCCACACTGCCCTGGTCAGCCTATTTCTGTTCTAAGTTATGAACCCCCGGTTGTGAGATGTGTGGCCTTATTCTAGAGATCCTTAGCACATTGAAAGCACTGACTATCAAGGGTTATTGAACTGATTTTCATCGACTGCTTTTTTTCTTTTCCTCTCTGCTCTAAATAAATAGAATATGAATCCGCAATAATAGTAAGAAAAATAAAAAAGGCACAAAAAGAAACAAAAAATGACAACAAGAAAAGAAACCTTGGAACTTATGTGCAGAGCTATATAGGGCAACTGAGATAGCATCCAGGTTTGCCCTAAGCCTCCCACAGTGGTGGAGCTTGGAGCTCTTCTCTTTCAGGTCAGACAAGATTAAAAAGGAAAAAGCTTTCATGGGAACTGCCTTTAATACACTTGAGATTGATGGCTTAGGATGGATGGAGAGAGAAAATGTTGTGATACCATAGCCTATCTGCCAAACATTTCTCTGGTTTTGCTTATCAAAAGCATATAACATAATAACTTTATTATAATCTAGAAAAGCCTACTTACTTACTTGAATTTTCCTTCCTCTTTTTAAGAGTATGAGTGCTTCTCTGTACTTTAAAATCTCACCAATGCTAATAGTTTAATTTGGCTTCTTATTAGTAAGGGCAGTATCCCTTTGTGCTGGGTGCCGGTTTTGGCTGCTGCTGAGTTTCCTGAACCACGGCCTTGAGTTTCTGTCTGAAGGAATCAGCCCCGTCCCAGCTCGCTCCTCGGAGGCCAGGAGACGCCGGCTCTCAGGAGACTGGCAGGGGACCTTTGGTCGTGAAACCCGTGGATATTCCTGTGTTTCTGCATTTGAACTTGTACACACAGTGCTGGCTTTGTTCCCTTAGAAACAACAACAGGAGAAAAACGAACAAAAACAATCCAGCCGAGATGTGTGTTCAATCCTACCTGTAGCAATGTAAAATTATATAGTCAACACTATAGCAGGGAGACAGAAGAGAACTTGCAGTAAATGTTTTGTGTCTGCTTGATGTTATGATAAACAAAAGGGCTTGAATTTAGCTGCCGTGAAGTGCATCAGTTGCTGATGACTTGGCAATATTTACAGATGAGTGGGGCCCTGCAAGCCAGCACGAGGGCCTGAATGAGCCCAAAATAATCATTTTCTTCAAAAAATCTTCAAAGAAACCATTTTTGGGCACTAGAAAAGATAGAAAAATGAAAAAGGTGCTTTGTCCTATCTGTTTGTTTTGCATGCAGCAGATAACTTGATAACTTGATACGCACTCAAAGATTGCACTCAAAATATTTATTTTAGGAAGAATGAATTCCCTGATTAAGGAAGAACCTAGG